ACGCTCACGATGTTGGAGCCCGTGACCACGGTCATGGTGATGTTGCGGTCGCACGCCACCACCAGGTCCACCTGGTCGGAGCCGATGCCGGCCGTGATGGCCAGCTTGAGCTTGGACGCCTTGGCAACGCGCTCGCGAGTGATGTAGGCCGGCCAGAAGGGCTGCGAGATGACCACGTCGTCGTCGTGCAGATGGCGCGCGAACTCCGAGTCGTTCCCGTCCTTGTCGGACGTCACGACGGACTCGTGGCTGCGGTCCTCGAGGAACATGCGCAAGCCCAGCTCGTTCTCGACGCAGCCCAGGATGTTGGAATTGCGCTTGCCGGCGTCGCCGCCCTCGGACAGCACGCACACGACCTTCATTTGCTTGGAGTGTAAGTTGCGAAAATGCACGTGGTCACGGCGAGAGGCATCGGTTATACTCGACAATGCTGTCGCTGTTGCGCTAGGTCATCTTGGCCTACGCGGTCTGCTCGGGCATACTGAAACATCCGAGCTTTTGGGGTCCATGTATCGTTGAGATTGACGAGCAACGTGTAAGCCACGACGTCCTTGGCGGCGAGTCTTTCGTCGCAGCGGCTCCTTGCTGGCGGGCTCTGCTGCGTCAATCGTAAGGTGTGGTCGTCCGGATAACAGCCCGTTGTAAACCCTTCCAACCGGATGGAACGGACGAATAAAGCCGCGGCTTTATTGGCTTAAGTCGAATAAAGTCAATTTTGCCGATCGGCAAAATTGACCAATAAAACGATTAAAGTCGAATAAAGCCGCGGCTTTTATCCACACTGTTTGAGCCTCTTGATTCAAATCATCTCGAGCATTTGTGGCGTACAAAGCATGGATTGTAAATGTAGTCGTTTGATTTAAGGTGTCTTAAGTTGAGACTCAACGGTCTTTTTTTTTTTTTTTGCGTAATACCAAACGTAACCAGTCCGGACTAAAATCGCTGTGCTCGTACAACGCACAGGAAAGTACGGGATTCCGACCAACCGTGCCCCAAACTCTGAACTTTCTGTATCACTTCTCGCCGTATCGCAACACTACCAAGTTGGTACGACGTGTTTAAGCCGCTTTACAAAGGATATTTCTTTTAGTTTGTACTGAAATATGTACTGAATTCATTCTTTTTCCTGTTTCATATTAAGAGCCGGAAGTGTGCAAACATATACTTGAACAAGAGCAAGCTTGAGGAGAAAAGAAAGGCGGCGTTCCCGGCCTCAGATCCACCACAACTTTACTCGCATCATGGGGGGGGTTGCTTGGCGGCGCTGTTAGCTGCTCTGACAGCTCTCCAGTCATGCGTCGTGAGTACCTCGGTGTCTACCGCGTCGGGCATGGTGACTGCCGACTTGCCGGTAAAACCCCGTATGCTGCCCGATACACCTATCTACAGGCTATTGAGAACAGTCGATACAAACGACAAGAGCAATGAAGAGAGAGTGTTGAATGCTGCCATTGAAAAACTCACGGGTCTGGTTAGAACGGGGGTGATGAAGATCAGTGGAAACGCGAATTTGAAAATCTTGCTGACGGGGGAGCAAGGTGCCGACGATGTTCTAAAGATGTTTCAACTTGATAAGGGAATTAGCAAAGTTCTCGCCAGCCGTAACCTGAAGCCTAAAGTGCAGGCTATGGAAAGCTATTTGAAAGAGGTGAACAAGATTAACGGAAACGACAAATTGTCGGTGATTGGAATATTCACGACGCATTACGGAGATGCTGCTGTGGCGCGAGCACTTGTAGTAGCACAGAAGAAGGCAACGACGCATGACGCGGCGAATACGATAAAGCAGTTGCGAAGCGAACAACTATCTGCTTGGATGAAGAGTGAGAAAACCGTCGACGATGTTTTCGAGCTGCTAAAGCTTCGCCAGAACGGATACAAAGCTCTTGGCAGTCCGAAGCTGGAGGTGTTGGACGACTACATGAAGATGGTTATCCAGAAGACCTCGGGCAAACAAACTCTGCTCCAGACCTTAACCAATGGCTTCGAAGGCGAAGAGAAGTTGGCAGCGCTGCTGGTGCGTGCGAAGGAGGATACCAGTACCAGTGAGCTTGCGACGGCGTTGCAGAACGCACTAATGAACAAGTGGATAGAAACGGATAAACTGAAGCCGGAAAATGTTTTCAGTAAATTGAGACTTGACCGCGGTGTGGATGCCTTAGTAGACAGGAATGAACAAACTCTGGCAGCGTTTATCTCGATGTACAACGCACGGAATCCAAACAGCATGGCATCGCTGATTGGGACGTTTACTAGGCAGTACGGGGATGATGTGGTGGCACTAGCACTAGGTTATGCGAAATCTGACCCTACCAAAAGGTGGGTGGCTATCTACATGCAGCAGCACCAATTTCAGGCGTGGCAAAAGAGCAAGAAATCGGCCGTCGCTGTTTTTAAGGAACTGGAGATTACGTTCGACGATTTCGTACCCACAGTTAACCACAAGTTTGATACATTGAGCGGGTACATCAAGGTACTCAATACCGTCAATCGAGACCAAACCGATATGATCACGGTGCTCAGCAATGGGGTCGGTGGGGATGGCAACCTTGCACGTGTTGTTGCTACGGTGCTTTTGCAATTAGAGTCGCACAATAGTTTTATAGCTGCCGTCTCTACAGCTGCCGAGTACGAGACGG